GGGGGTACAGGCAGTGCTATCGGCCAGTGGAGGTAGGGAGGAGGGTTCAGGCAGTGATAACGGCCCGTGGAGATGGTAAGGAGGGTACAGGCAGTGATCTCGGCCGGTGGAGGTGGTGAGGGGGGTACAGGCAGTGATCTCGGCCCGTATAGATGATGATGAGGGTTCAGGCAGTGATCTCGGCCCGTGGTGGTGGTGAGGAGGGTACAGGCAGTGATAACGGCCCATGGAGGTGGTGAGGAGGGTACATACAGTGATCTTGGCTCGTAGAGATGGAGAGGAGGGTACAGGCAATGATAACGGCCCGTGGAGGACACACGTAGTATTGTAAATACACTGCAATAGGGGATGGATGGCTCTATTGTGACCGCCGCATGTGTTACAACATCATTTTACTCTCATAAGTCCGCGCTATTACAAGGAGGCGCCAACATACCCCGCCTCCAGCACTCATACACACAAGGACCTATACATTACACATGTAAAAGGATCGGTTTTTCTCTTCAAAACCAACACCCAGGTTTGGTGATCTTGGGTCCGTCAGGGTCTTACAGTCTGATATGATTGAAGTTTGGTAAATAAACACAGACACCGAAATATAAAATTCAGGTGGTTTATTAATGACATGGAAATATTTACGCACCGGGATATGAGTTTAGACCACGCTGTCACACACTCGAGCACACATACACATCAATAACATGACTTTATTTCCAAGTGGTACAAGGCCTAACTTACTATATATACAGACGGCAACACGGCCATATGCCTATCGAATAAACGACGAAATGATATACTGACGGCTACACGGCCATATGCCTATTAAACAGACGACGACATGGTTCAAAACACGACTCTAAAACTCCTACAAAAATAGTACATGGCTACAGAGAAACTACTGCTAGTAATGTGACTGGTAAACTATCTACGCTAGCGTTATCCTATTACGTTTTAGAGACCCTATACCTACAGCTACTCCTAAAGTAGAAAAGAAGTGAGCCGAACCAGTCATGTCAAGACTTTCATTCTGACTGCCGAAGCACACATGTGTACCGGCTTAAATAGGCAAAAACACGTCACTTTGCACGTGCAATAGTCGCGCAAAATTTCTCGGAACATTTTCGCTGTTGCTATAGAGTTCCGAACAGTATATCAACTTCCGGTATATCGATCATGATGGACGACTAGGCGTGGTAAGCAGACAGCCGTCAAATATAACTCTTTAAAGTTTTCACATTTACTGAACGTTTACACAATATGGATGCACGTCCCTTAATGGCCCTAGATGTAAATAGGACGTTAAACCCTATATAACCAAACCAAATGTAGCATTCGCTTTGTTACGTAACCTCTGTGAAATGGGTCCATGTCACAAGACAGGGCTGATTTCTGGCGTGCGACCAAGGTGCAATATGTATCACTGTAGACGAAGGCTTCACAACAGCTCAACTTTGAGAAAACCTGTTTGTCGTAGGTTGAGTCTCTAATAGCAAATAGCGAACATAAAAAAGACACACCTCAGTTCTGACCAAAATCACAAAAACTACATCATAATCGCCCCTTTTGTTGACGAAGGGGATTCAGGGTATCAATGGTGATGTCAAATCCGTCTAATTACTGGGATCTGGCGAACTCTGCATAGAAATATATCAGACAATAGGCGATCAACCGCCTTGGAACGGCCAGTTTTGTCCGCATCATTGTCAGTATGAAACCACACTTATCTCTTAATTGGAGCAAGAGCAAAATATATAATATCAATATAATTGAGGCCGACATACTGAATCCGGGTTCCGGAGGAGAAGGTCCCAATCTATGATTTAATATGGATCCTTGCAAGGAAGGACAACAGCATGACCCTTAAACAAATGTATACTAATTTTCTCTGGTCCACGCATTTCATCAACTGTGACCAACAATACAACATTTTCGTTTACATCGCAAATCCCTTAAGATACTTAAACTGTCAAAATAACGATTTAAACGAGAAAACGATAAAGACGGGAAACGGTCGGTCAATGTTGTTGTCATGACGACCAAAATGACAGACATTGGCAACCTTCGTTGTGTGAATTGCGCGGGAAAACATGTTTCTTCGTCTGAGGACTCTCCTGACTGAAGCTTGGAGAATGATGGAAGTACAGAAAGGGCTGCGTCCTCGTAGTCTAGAGTCCAATCTGCAATGTCACTGCTAGGAGTTTATGGTTCAAATTTCAGAGGACATGTCTGCCGTCATCATTACAGAGATCTAGTTCTCTCTTTTCCACATCTCAGTCTCAAATGAGATTCGAATTCACATCAGATGCTGCCGGGACCCGATTTAACTGACTTCTGTACCAAAGGAGTGTCCTACTGGAATGGACACAAATGCACCAGCGCTTCGTACTTCAATTCCATCGAAATCCAGACGAAACAAGAGAAAATGAATAACATTATAACTCAATGGAACATGGATTAAAGGCAAATATAGAAGAGTTTCTTGTCTGTGCAACTTAACACAGACAAATAACTGTTTTTTTTTCATTTATCTTCCTCCGATTGATTTTCTTAATTCTACTCAACTATATAACATTGTCACCCAAATCACAACAACATTCATAATCTTCGATTACTTGAATTTCCATAATAGCCAGTGGGGTTCTCCCAACATAGACAAGAGAGGAAGACTTGATGGTGTAAAACAACCTGAGAATCTCGACGAACTAATCAAAACCTAAAAGTATCACACTATCACATATTTTAGATATGAAAACGTGTGAAGACATGGATCCAAGCAGCCTTTCTGGAGTATACCGTATCACACCTGTACCAGGGGACAGCTTCGACGTGTACTGTCACATGGAGAGCAAAGGAGGTCCTTGGACTGTAAGTATAGCTATCTTCAAACACTGTACTGAAACTCTTTCTTTCTCAACATTTATATAAACACAGGCTATGTGTGGGGATTTAGGTTTTTACTGATGACGTTATTGCGCGCCTTGTATCCTTTATGCTTAATCTTAGATTCTGTGCTAAACCCGAAAATATTATTCCGGGGATAGATAAATGAAAAACCACATTTTGTCAATGATATGAAAGAGTGTTTTGAGAGGCGTAAAGCCGAGTACAGTTTTCAATGTCTAGATTGGAAATTTTGACCGTATGAATGATTTAAGCAAGGTATAAGAAAGTTGGCATCAGCACAGACTCCCTGACTGAGAATGAGAACAGTATCATGAACATGTGTCCTACTAGGACATGCCACCGAGAAATAGGTGATGAATTTTCCTCAAAAATAAGGTTGGTAACATATTTGAAGGTATCGTTTTATATTACCAGGGCTAAAATGTATATATTTCTTGACATTTTAAAATGGGCCTGTAAATTGTTCGTCTCTTTTGACACTGGAAATATACAATCATGTCCTTTGTGTTCTTCCTGTTACGTTCAGGAGCGATATACATATTTCTCATACTACAGGGAAATGTCACATCATAGGCGATGTTAGATTTGTATAACCCATTTTAGTGATGATATATTATTAAACGAGGATTGCATTTTTATGATTTTTTTTTTATATCTTAACATTATCACTTTTTATCCAATTTGGAATTACCACTTTTTGACATTAATTAAAATGATTATATCTGAAGTAGAAGATGGTGTACTATATGATTCTAAAGTAGAAGATGATGTACTATATAATAATACACAGCTGGATGCTGTACGCTTGTTATTCACTATTTATTATGACATTTATAACTGTATCAAACAGGTCATTCAAAACCGAGAAAGCAATGAGGTTGATTTCTTCAGAAACTGGGATCAGTACAAAAATGGATTTGGCAATCTTCTCGGTAACTTCTGGTTGGGTGAGTACTTTCAGCTTTACCAACATTGAATAACACGGTCTCTAATTTGTGTTTATGTTCATACTGTCAAACATTTGATGCCTATTGATATTGAGACTCAGGTGTGTGTTCTTGTTAGGTCACCTAAGCTTTAGCTCAAGTGACCTATTGCTATCCATTTATCCGTTAACATTTTACATTTTCAACTTAAACTGAAATACTGTCAAAGGGATGTCTTTGATACTTCATGGGAATGTTACTGACAACTCCCTAACCAAGTGTTGTTATTGTTCGGGTCGATTAGAAATCCAAAATGGCCACCACGGCAGCCATTTTGAAAAACTATTTCAAACTTAAAGTCAAGTTCTACAGGGCCGATTCAACTGAAACTTGGTAGGAATGAACAACTTATGTTCCTGACAAAGTGGTGTTATTTTTGGGGTCAATCATAAATCCAACATGGCCTCCACAACGGCAGCCATTTAAAAAAACTATTTCAAACTTAAAGTCAAGTTCAAACTGGCCGATTTAACTGAAACTTGGTAGGAATGATCGACTCATGGTCTTGACAAAGTGTTGTTATTTTTGGTATCTATCAGAAATCCAATATGGCCACCATGGCAGCCATTTTGAAAAACTATTTCAAACTTAAAGTCAAGTTCTACTGGGCCCATTTAACTGAAACTTGTCAGGAATGATCAGGTCCATCAAAAATCCAACACTGCCGCCATAGCTGCCATTTTGAAAAAAACCCTATTTAAAACTTAAAAGCAAGTTCTAATATGCCGACTTAACTGAAACCCAGTCTAGGATGATCAACTCACTGTCCTGAAAAACTTAAACTAAAGTTATACTTAACTTGTTTTTATTCAAATGTTGGTAGGGATGATTGACATCAATATCTCCACTTAATATTTCAACAAAAAAATAAATACTGTAGGACTCAGGTGACCGTTAAGGCACATGGGCGTCTTGTTTTATCATGTATGCATGGTTAGAGTGTTGTATTCTTTGTTTGTATGTATATACACACTGTACTGATAAACCGCAAGGTTTAAAGTTATAAAGAATAAATTAATGTTTACCTGTGTTTTATTTTCTTCATTTGACACATAACCCGTCACGATACAGAACCTCTGCAGTTGTTAATGATTTCGCAGTCATTAATTTAAAATTATGACACACAGCATAGGTTCCGAATTTCAATAAGTATGTTCATGGTTTGGTATTTTGTCTTTGTTCCTATGTTACATCTGGGTATATCAGTAAGAAAACATAAAACGTTTGCCTCTGTGTGTTAAAACAGGAAACGAACACATATTTTCCCTCACACGGACCCCGTGTTTGCTCCGTATACAGCTGGAATCCTTGAATGGCACATTTGGTTACGCTGATTACTCGAAGTTCCAGATTTCCGATGAGGGCGGTAACTACAAATTGTCTGTGACTGGTTTTAGTGGAAATATCAGTAAGTATACTATGTTGGTAAATCTTTTGATCATTATTAATGTAACAACTGATTCTTGTTAGGTTATTGGACACTTACTTACAACATATTCGAATTCATCAAATGTCATGTTCATTTTAAATTTTCTGTGATACGTCAGCGAATTTAATCAAGTTCATATTAATATTCGTATACATGTAATTATAATTTTTTGAGTTTTTATATATATAGTATCGTTGATTTCGTAAAAAAAAATACAGTTAAAGATTAACATTAGTATATTTGCTGTCTTTGGTTCTCTCTAGTCCAGGGGATTATTGTTTTTTAACATCTGTTTTATTTAAATTTTGTTCTTATATAATGTATCTGTTTGGCAATCTAATAAGATAAGACTTATGATACCGCTTCGATACAATACACTTATTTCAAACGTTTTTTTTTTTTTTATATATCAGAGTGTATCGTAATGGAAAGGAATTACATGTCCTATTTTGATTAGATTAAACATTTGACAACTTTATATTGTTTACACTGTTTCAAGACTTTCGTTGGTTTGGTTGTCTCCAGTTTGCCCTATTTACAGCTTACGTAATTTCAGGACATGCCTCTGTTTGTGTTATGTTTGCGTTTATGAGTTCTGGAGGCGGTATTTTGATGTATGTTCTTCCTCGCGATAGCACGGATATCTGATGCCGAATTTAGAGTGCTTCCTCACTGAAATACCACGCCGTAAGCACCAATCACAGGATACAATATTCAATATATGACCAATATTTTTAGTATCTCTTACTTAAATGTACTTATCCTTGTCTATATTACAGGTGATTCCTTTAAAAAGAGTGACGGTCAATTGTTCTCAACACTAGACAGAAACAATGATATTTTCGTTTCCTATCATTGTGCTGAAAAACGACACGGAGCTTGGTGGTACAAAAAATGTACACACTCTAACCTGAATGGTATGTACGAACATTACCCCACAGAACTCTTTTCGATGTATTGGAAGGATTTCTTTGGAGACGATTTTCATGATCCAATGAAAACTTCAAAAATGATGTTGAAAAAGCCTTGAAGAAAGCGACATTTAATGTTCTTGTTTTATGATGATGTATCGTCAATTTCCAGGAAGAATAAGTATTAGAAAAATATTTGAACTGAACACAATTTTTACATATCTAGGAAACCGTTTTACATGTAAAATCTCAATGTGAAGGCGGAACAAATACCTCCACGTGTTTAGAGTCTCTCACTTTGCAAAAGTATACCAATGTGTTGATCCCTATCCCTATCACTGATGAGGACGTTTATCTAAACAAAACGTGGATACAAATCCTAAATCCGCAATCTCACAAAGGAAAAACAGGTTGTAACTGTTCTTTATCTAAATATAAACAACACCATCGTCTGAAGAGAATATTTGAAGTAGTGTACCGGGCACTCGAAGATGTAGCTGGAAACCGGAAACTGGAAAATCAAGGATAAACTTGAACGGTGGGTATCATGGATACACCCACTCCCTACATAGCTGTTCCTATATAAATAGTGTTTTGTTCTTGACATCGAGGTCAATAGTTGTACGTTGACATTGTGAATCGCATTTCATTTCACGACACCGTCTGATCATAGCATACCTTCATATCAAGTCTGACGTCCATATACTGTACAGAAAACGTTACCAAGATTTGCTTTGAAAATCAACGCTGACACTGTTTTTATGCTTGAGGTCATATTGAGGTTGCAGGGAATCTATTTCATTATGCGACATTTTGCTTGACTATGAAGTACCCTCACACAAAGTCTGCAGTGTATACATGAAACGGTACTCAATTATGCGTCAAAAAACTCTACTGCACTGTATTTTAGTACTTGAGGTCAAGTTCAAAGGTCAATGTGACCTCATTTTCGTATGCAACTCACCTAGGTCAAGAGAAAATATCAGATATTGATCACATTGACCTCATTTAAAAATGTGACAGACTGCATTCCTTTGATGTACCTTTATACGAAGTTTGATGTCAATTCCTAAAACACGGCTGAGATATGCTGCAAAAGCGAGTCAGCACGGAAGCACAGACGGACGAACAGCATATTATATAAACCTCCGACTTCGGTTGAAGCAGACAATTAAGTTTTCTTCGGTTATTGTATTGTATATTCTTTTCACCGGTCTTAAATATTTGTTCATTTTTAAAGCATTTTACTTCTAGTGTCGCCCAGCTCATTTATAATGAACCATTTAATTTGTATACAAAATATGATGGCATCCGAAGAAAATAAATGAAAAAATGGAAATGTGTGTAAATCTAAGTCCAATCTATGAGATGTCACGTTCTTACATCGCGTATTCATGTGGTGATAACAACAAAATAAGGCACACAATATGGGTAAAAAGCATAATTAAGAACACTCAAAAATTGTCTTTGTAGTTATATTCTTCTTGTTAAATGGACACCGCTAGAAATACATACAGAAATCTATTTTTCAAGAATGTCGATATCTTTTCCGAGGACGTTGTTTCGCAAAAAAGTTTGATTGAAACAGTAAAAAGAGTTAATAACTTAGTTAGGAGGGAATATTCATTTTTGTAATTTTTGACTTCCCCCTTTAATTTCCGCACGATCGGTTAAATAACAGACGATTTCTCCAAAAACCAAGAGAAATCCAACCCTATCATTTTAATTCATAGGTATGTACCAGAGTGTTTAGTCTTAATATTGTAAAAATACTTGACACGTGTAAGATTTTCGTTCAATCTTAAACAGGTCATTCATACGATTTAGACACAGTATCCGAATGGGATTGTAACTGTTTGTATATGTAACACCTTTTTGATTGGACAGAACGACATAAACGCGGCAGTATAATCACAATGTACTTGTCGGAAAATGTGTTGAATCGTTCCGAATATTACATGAATAATGACAGCAGACGACACAAGGGCCACGATAGAAGACAGCCATACATCTGTGCAGATCAGTTGGACAATCGAGTTGCCCGAAGTTCCAGCAAGCAAACAGAAACAAGAGAGCCAAAGGGCATGCATCGCTCACCTGAATATTTTAGCAATCGTTGCATTAAATGTTATACTGTACTACAAATATTTCACTCGGAAACTTCGTCGACTCAATCAGTTGAAACTACCAGTCAAATATTACTATATGATTCTATGCTTTTTGCAAACTTTGGTGACCTCTATCCCAAGAAGCCACTAGTCAAATATTATGATTCTATGCCTTTCGATTATTCAGAAGAAGTTGATTGATGTTTTTGACATATTTGACCGCTGTGACCCTGAAAGTTGGCCAAAGTCATTTTCATGCTCAAACTTTGTCATGCTCAATCTAATGAGGTTACCAGCCAAATATAAAGATTCTATACCTTTCAGTTCCTCCTCCGAAGTTGCTTGAAATGTTTGCCATATTTGACCCCTGTAACATTGAAAAAAGTTCAAGGTAATTTGCACTTTCAAACTTTACTAGGATCCACCCCAAGAAGCTACCAGCCAAATATTAAGATTCTATACCTTTAAGTTCTTTTGAATAAGTCGTCTGAAGTGTTTGACATATTTGACCCCTGTAACCTTGAAAGTAGGTCAAAGTAGTTATCATTCTCAAACTTTGCGGGCTCTATCACAGGAAGCAAGCAGCCAAAATATGAAGATTATATCCCTTCCAGTTCTTCAAAAGAAGTCGTTAGAAGAGTTTGACACATTTGATCGCTGTGACCTTGAAAGAAGATCAAGGTCATTTTCATCCTCAAAGTTTGCGGGCTCTTTCACAGGAAGCTACCAGCCAAACATAAAGATTCAATACATTTCATTATGAGAAGTTCTTTTTACATTAGCGTTTTAAAGAAAAAGTTGACGGACGGACGACGGACACTGCGGTATGGCATAAGCTCGCCATGGTCCTTCCGACCAGGTGAGCTAAAACTGACAAAAACTTATTTAACTTTTTTTTATTTGGTGACTAGACAGACTGATCTTAGGGAACTCGATTCTCTCTACACACACCTTTCCACAGCAATGCATTGAATTTAAAGCGGGAAGAGATGTTCTTTCGATCTGCGAACAGGAAATCATCAAGATAACTATCTAGTGAAGATTCATGTGACTTGGACTCTACCAGCCAATAAATGACTGTAGCTACAAGCTAAGGAACATCCCATTGGTAGAAAATCAATGTAATAATCCCAACCTAACTGATACCCGAGCAAGTCAATGTGCGAAGGATGATTAAAATTCTTTTAACATCGAACTTTCCAAGCAGTGCGCCCTGGTCTAATTTACTTATAGGTATCATTTCAACAATTTTGTAAAACTGATAACCATCACATGCCGTGTTATCGAGCACAAACCTGGGTCAATATGATCAGTAACACTTATCCCTGGAAGATAAGAAGAATAAGTAATCAACACTAACCGCCTAATGACTTGGGTACTACCTCTATCGGTGAAACTTATTGAATAGAAATAGGTATATACTGCGAAGGCCCTTTGATTCTACCCAATTTAATCTCTTTTCCAAAATAGCAAGCAAGTCATTTAATCTGACACTAAGCCTATCCTTGATATAGTATAATGTTATTTACACCAATCAGTGACACTGTTTCCAAACTCTAGGAATTGACAATATGTGGATTAGTGTTTTAAAACCAGATAAAGCTTTAGCTTTGACAGGTGTTCCGGCTTTGACCCAAATATAAATGGCCTTGACATGAGGGCGTCCTCTCGGATGCAGTTGATTATATCCTGTTCCAGATCGGGTATAAAAAATCGAGATGGTCAGATATTTCCTTGTTTTTAAAAACAGCACATCGACGATATGGTGCTATTACAAGAATTTGCATGTCATAATCATAGCAATACACAAGTGTAATAAAACCTTAAGGTGCAGCGATAATTGTGTTAAAAGATTGTTTTTCAAATTATAAATGTTACCTGACACTTAGAACTTTATCAGTCTTATTATTTCATCCTCAGTATATATCATCTTGGTAATTATCTTTTTTTCCAGAATGTTAGTCCGGCTTTGCTTATATTTGTGGCAAACTTCCGGTTTATTTTATTTTTTTAACATCCGGTTTGCCTCTTGTGCAATGTGTGCGTTGCATTGAGCAGATAATTATTGTTTGTCGAAGTGTCTCTTTGGCACGTAAGTTAACAGTTGTCTACGACTGAGACCATATATACTATCTTTTATGTTTCTTCTTTTTGTTTGCATGTTTTACGTTCTGTTTTCTTCTCTATATATGACAGGCCTTGCATGTTTGGTTAATACGTCACAGGGGATCGTTACAGATGATGTGATATACATGAGATGGAACACATGTATATGTGACCCATCTCATTTATTATATCATTTGTCACGAACCCCTGTGATGATGCTGTTTAGACTGTTAGGCAATTGTTGGCTTCTAATAACATAACGATTCTGAGTGCTAACTGTCATGGTTTATCTGATAGATTTAAACGAAAAGATGTTTTCTCTTATCTTAAGAATCAATCGTATAATATTTTTTGTCTTCAGGACACGCATTTTACTCAGGATAAAGAAAGTCTTTTAAGAAGTGAGTGGGGTTATGAATGTTTTTTTAACTCTTATAAATCTAACGCCAGAGGGGTAGCTATATGTATTAATAATAATTTTGAGTTTAAAGTTCACAAAGAAAAGAAGGATAATACTGGTAATTTTTTGGCTCTAGATATTACAATTGAAGGATCAAGAATGACTCTTATTACTATATATGGTCCAAATCAGGATAGTCCTGGTTTTTACAATATTATTTCTGAGACTATTGATGATTTCGAAAACAGTTCTGTTGTGATATGTGGAGACTTTAATTTAGTTCTGAATCCTGAGATTGATTATGACAATAACTATAAAAACATAAATAATCCTAAAGCTAGAGAAAAGGTATGTGAAATTGTAGAAAACTTTGGTCTTATTGATATATTTCGAGAACAACATGAGGACAGTAGAAGGTATACATGGAGAAAGAGCAACCCAGTTAAGCAAGCCAGGCTAGATTTTTTCTTAATTTCTGATGATATGCTTTCTAGTGTTAAAAACT